CCCTTCTTAGCAGTGGGTTTTTTTTTAGTGGGGAGGGGATTTCTCTTTCTGAGGCGGTGTTTTTGGGAATGGGCTCGCTTGAGGCCAGTTCTGGCGACTTTTCCGGCGAAAGAGATGGTGTCAGCTCTTTAGGGGGTATGGCTTTCTTACCTTTCTTTGCTTTCGCTTTAACTCGAGGCATACTTGGATGATGAGGCTGACGGTTTGTCAATGTTGCAGGAAACCTAGGGTTAAGGGAGAGCGAGTAAACAGAGGGAAGCGAAGGAAAAGGACAGGGAGGGGAAAGGTGCTAGCGCAAAATTAGGGCTTGGACGATAACCTCTCTCTTTGTCTTCTCTTAAATAGGCTTATCAACCTGTCATCATTAATGCTAAGAAAAAGAAGCCAACTACTCCCCTTAACTGTCGTACCTTTTTCTTCTAAAAAAATTCAAATTCAAAAATTTCCCTCCTTTTGTACCTTTCCTAGAAAAGTGCACTTCTTATCTCGTGGGAAAGAGATGTCTGAACTACTTCGGTTTTAAACTTCTGACCCACGATTTCTACTTTAAGCATTAATTGCTTCTCTCTTTATATTCCATCTTCGTTTTTGCACCCTTGATTTATGCTCCAACATCAATGAGGTTAACCACATTTCTCAGCTTCCCTCCAGCTCTGTTCTAGCAAGTATAGTAACGAATTGGAAGAAACTTTTTTTTTTATTTGCCTAAAACAAAAATCAAATTAAAGAAATACGCTTCTAATTATAATCTTACTATCAACATTAAGGAAATTAAAATGAATTGACAAGAATTAAAAACTAGAGAGAGAGAAGAAACAAAGGATTCTTACCCTTTTATTCTGTCTTGATAACCCTTTATGTTGACCTCAGCTGGTGGGAATCCGTCTTCCTCACCACTTCTCCTCCCCAGTAATGCTTCATTCTTTGCCCATTCACAGTGAACTCCCTTTCAGTTTGATCTTCCTTGACAGTTACAACTCCATAAAGATATATCTTCACCACTGTGAATGGTCCTGACCATCTTGACTTTAATTTTCCAGTAAACAACTTTAGCCTTGAGTTGAATAACAACGCCCTCTGTCCTTCTTCAAATGTTCTTGGCTTTATTGTTCTGTCATGCCACACCTTGGTCTTTTCTTTGTAAACCTTTGCGTTCTCGTAAGCTTCTTTTCTGAATTCATCCAACTCTAGTAGCTGAAATTTTCTCGCTTCTCCTGCTGCTGCTAGATCCATATTCAACCTCTTCACAGCCCAAAACGTCTTCTGTTCCAACTCAAGCAGTAGATGACTGTTGGATCGGTATGGCAACCCTAGAGGGGGGGTGAATAGGGTTTAATTAACAAAATATAAACTTTTTAATAAATGGGCCCAATTTAAACAAAAATAATACACTTTTTGAGATATGGAATTTTAACAAAGTAAGATAAAATAAATTCTAAGGCAAACAAGAGAAATTTAAAGCAAACAATCAAATTCTAAGATTAATTGCAAAAATAAATAAGAGAGAGGGTTAGAGAAATTTGACACCGGGAATTTTTATAGTGGTTCGACACAACTGTCCTACTCCACTTCCCAAGCACCTCTTGGGTTGTAAATTGAAATTCCGACTCTTTCCACGGTAGGAGTCAAACCGGTACACTGCTCTTCACAAGAGCAAAGACGATCCTCTCCACGGTGAGGATCACACCGTTACAATGAGTTGAAGATTTTGAAACACACACTTACAAACTCTCAAATAGAGTAAATATACAAATTTGAGCTCACAAAAATTTTCAATCCTCACAACAATAAAATTTCTCTCACAAATAAGATGGAAAGAAAAATTGAGAACTTGGAGAGATTAGCAAAATGAAAATTTTGAAGTTATGGAGGATTGAGAATAAGAGAATTGTTTTATAATTTTGAATGAGAAGTTTAGTTTAAATAGAGGGAAGAAAATGGTAAAAAAAATCAAGGTTAATTTTAAACCATTAGATCTTAATCATTAAGAATGAAGGGTTGAGATAATTTTAAAAAAATAAATTAAAAATAATATATATATATATAATAATGATAAAATAAAATAAAAAAATATACATATATATATATAAAACAGAGATGTGACAGTTGATGTGACAAGTTTTTTTTAATTATATATATATAATAATAATAATAATAATATATGTGAGAAAACGGTAAACTTTTCAATTTTTTTTTTAACAAAGTTACCAACGGTAACTTTTGACTTTTTCTTTTTGATTTTTTTTTTATTTTTTTTAATCTTTTTCTTTTCTTTTTCAATATATATATATACTTTAAAAAGAAGCTTGTCACTTGTCAGCTTACGAATTGTCCACGTCATCTTCTCGGGTATTTTTCCTTCCAATTTGTTTCGATCGTAACTTCTCCGTTTGAGCTCCGATTTGGATGATCTAACAGTCGTTGGAATCGTTGTAACTATCTCTACACTGTAGACACTTTAAAATACAAAAAATGTCAATAAATAAAATTAAGTTTGTTATCATCAAAACATTAATTAATTAATTAAAATTAATTAATTTGAGATTAAGGCCAAAAAGCCAACAATGACATGCCTTACCAAAGACTAGCTTGTAAGGGGAAGTTCCTATTGGAGTTTTGTAAGCAGTTCTATACGCCCATAATGCATCATCTAACTTGTAGGACCAATCTTTTCTACCGATATGCACTACCTTCTCCAGAATCCCTTTAATTTCTCTGTTTGATATCTCTGCTTGTCTGTTCGTCTGAGGGTGGTATGCCGTGGACACCTTATGCTTGATATTATATTTCTCCAACAAGGAACTCATGGCTTTGTTAACGAAATGGG